ACTCTGAGTGAAATTGACAATTATCTGCTCAGAACACAACGTTATACAATACGTCATTTGATGGATGAAAACCCTGACTTTTTATTAGTTATAGGTAATATATATAATGAAACGTAGGAGAAAACTATCAACGAATTGTGAAAGAGAGGATGTGACAAGTGGAGTCTGTTTTTCTATATGATAGGTCTGTAACCAGACAAAATTGAAGGCTATAAAAATTATGGTTTGTTTGAGCAATAATGATTTTATAGAGTATTTTACATTTAATTTCGTACATTTTCAAGGGGTGATGGATAAAATAGGGATGATGACATGCTAAGACAAAATGTGTCATGTGGGTCACACTAGTTGGAAATTCAGGATTTTAAAAAATATTTCCTTGTAGAATTAAGAACTTAACATTGTATACTATTAAAATATGGATTATTACCTAAGATTTTATGCTATTCTAATTGGTATAACATAAAAAGTAGTATAATAAAATTTTGAATGTAAGATACTAAAACCTTGTGTCATGCACAGTAAAGGATACCCAGGGCGACAGGGTTAATTACTGAAAATAACAGATAAAATATAAAGTTTTCTCTTAAGAAACATTAGATAACTATCTGGACATTATAAAGATTTAGCATGTGAAATTGGAAAATTTTCTGAAGTGTAAAAGTATCTTTAATCTTAAAATGAAAATTACTTTGCATGTTAGATATGCAAAATGGCATGAGAAAAACATTGTTTGACAAACGTTAAGACTTAATAAAAAAAAATTAATATTTTGCATATGAAAGCAATGTAATGTTTACTAATAATCTGTCAAATTTCATTAACATTCACTTACTAATTTAAAATTTATAGCATGAAAACTATAACAAGCACAAATGATTACAAGGTCAGTCTCAGGGACCAAGTCCATGCTGAAAGAGTTAACCGAAGGTGCTGCATACAACTTGTAAATCACATTATTGTAAGTAGCAAAGATGTAGTTTCATATGCAAATGGTGAAAAGAAAAAGTTGGCTTACTTGGGCAATCTGATTGTTAAGATTCAATGCCACTACACTGCTAGACTTAATATGGTCTCAACAAATGTATTCTCACTGTTGTAACTTTATGCTGGTAAATTGCAATTATTATTTATTAAACATTATGTATTCATGGTTTATAAAAGACTGACACATCATTAACCACAGTATTATGAAAATGATAAGCTGGTCTTTAATGATCCATATGCTAGACTCTATGTTCAACCACTGTTCACACATTCATAACAAGGAAGCAAAAGGTGGAAAACTTTATTAAGATAGTTTGAGGGTATTATTATTCATAGTAAAATAGGAAATAACTAATAAAATTTCTGTCATTACTAGCACAGAATTATGAGTTCACTTCCCAAGCACGTGTACTCAAAATTACATTTTCCACCACAACAGAAAATGTGAATTTTTCAACCATTAATAAACAATTAAACATGAATGGACATTATGTGAAATACTATGTTCATATATAATTAAAAAAGACCAAGAACAGTGTATGGAACTTTACATAAGCATTTCTTAAATGTAAAAATGTATTTGTAATGTTCTTATTCTTACCCTATATTTTTCTCCAGCAGTAGAATTGGCTACAAGGTGAGTTATTTTTGTGTTGAAGTCTTTCCTAATACTTCCACCCATATGATGAATCAGAGTTGCCATATTGCACTTAAAAAAGTAATATTTAAGAACATTTTTAAATTCCTCTATTTTTGTCGTTAATATGCCATATTTGTTGTTAAAAAAAAGCTTTATTTCCTCCCAAAATAAAAGATGAAATTTTAACATTTTGTTCTATACTAATAGAGATGAAAGTATTTATCTTGCATTTTGTACAAAAAAAAAATTATTGATAAATTTATACTGAATGGTCTTATGATTTTAAAGGAAGAAAAACAGTATCATTTCAATAAAAATACTATTATGTACATACATAAAAACCTCAGATATTTCAAGTTTGCTGATCAACAACTACACAAACTAAAGCCGCCTTTTATGTTTCTGAAAATTAAAACTTATAAAAAAAAATAATAAAATCCATTTCACTCAAATAATCTTCTTTCATATTAATTTTCAATTTCATCATAAAACTTACAACAGTAAGAACATGAACTCAAAGCCAAGAAATAGCTGGAAAAAAGCATCTGCTGTAATATTTGTAGATTCTACCTAGTGATATTTCATTATTGAATTCTGTCTTCTAAAGGTTCCATTTTAATAGGAAACTACAGCATTTGTAATAATAAAATGGGTGATGTTGATAACCTGCTGTTTCGAAAGCAACAGTGTAATGAAGAATGATACAAGAAACATACAATCTTCCTTTCCAATGAAGAAGTAAACAACTCATGTAGTAACAAAGTTTATAACTCGGGTACTTTTATTACCTACACTACTGATGGTGGACAGAGGTTATGTTTTCAACCCTATGTAAGTGTCAGAGATGAAAGTGTC